GTTCTTTTTTTTTTCCTCGTCACCCAGTGCTCTGTTTATGATTCTACAGCTTAAAGTTTTCTTCTTTCCTAGCCATCAGTTTGTCAGTTATGATCAAGTGTCAAAATGAAAGCAAACATAAGCATCAATTATCAAAAAATTACATGGTCTGTTTACATATTCCTTAGCAGAAAGAATTTCTCTCTCGGTGCATACTGGATGTGAATTGTAACTAGACACGTGAGTTGTCTACATCCTCATTTTCACATCTGAAATCTAGCAGCTAGGATGGGTAATCCAGAATTTACCTGCCAGGCATGGAGTCCTTGCAATATATGAGCAACACTTTAAAATGTTTTAATACTGAAGGCTATTCACATATATTTCAAATATCATCTTTTCTGTAGGAAGAATTGTTTAGTCTCTTCTCCATAACAAGGCTGTAATAGCATCTCAGGTTACACAATCTTCCTACTTTAAATTCTTTTGCAATTTTTTTCTCTCTCCCTCCAACATCTTTTTTTGCTGAACAAAATTATATGCACCAGGAAAAATTGCCCTGGTCATGCAAGCTTTACTCCTTTATCTGTCAGTTGCAAAGCATTCTTAACCCACTCTAGAAATGCAAAACGTTTGTTCTGCATTGAAATGTGCCAGCCTATTTGATGCCTACTGGATCTGCCCAATTCACATCAGCCTGCCCAGATGGAAGAAAATCAAGCAAAAGCCCAGCTAAGTGTTCCCATGGGTTGTCCATTTCCACCTTGGCTTCTGTGACAGTCTTAACTGTTTATTGTGTGAGCTGAAGTAGATCCCTGAGTTCACAGCAAAACTTTGGAAAGGCCTTTGTGGCTGTTTCAGCATAACAACACAGCTCCATGGATTGGATGGCAGGAATGTGGATTTAGACTGTAAACTGGTTTAGGCAACGATGCCATTATTCTTTTACTCAGTGAATGGTGGTTCAAATCATAAGCTAATGCTTTCCACGTAGATGGTAGGGAGAACAGCTGCTGCCTTGAGGAAAAATGAAAACATTCCACTTTTAAAATATCTTTATAAAGCCATATATATACGTTTTTCATTTTGTGTCTCTGCAAATGTTTAAGCCCAAGCAGGGTTAGGAGCAGAGTTGCTGAAATATTGCAGTGAGAGCTGTCAGCAAGCCCTTCCTAGTGTTTGGGTCACTTTGGCACCTGCAGTCTTGAGATTTTGAAGCTTGCAAACTCAACTCAACCTTAGTGTGAATGCAGTCTGTGCTACTCCTTCAGAGATTTGCACCTCTGACAGGCAGTTTTGTTGAGACTGGCAGCAAGCCTGCTAATTTTTGACAGTCATGCCACAGACTGTTTCAATGTTTATTACCCTTAATATAAAGACGGTTTACTGGAATTCATGGATTTTTCTGTTTGAAGCCATTAAACCTTTCTTCACTGGTAAAATCATGTATCCACTCTGTTTTTTCTTGTAGCTTCCAGGTTATCTGTACACATGGCTGTGCTGCAGGTCTGTACGGATTCCTAATTTCCTGAAAGCCTTTGAAATGTCCCTTTTCCCTGTCACTGAAATATCTAGAGCACTGCTTGATACCATGAGTGGGCTATACATGGAGCTGGGCTCCATTTGTTATGTCTCTGCTAGTGTAAAAGGATTGCAGAAATGTCTAGGTGTGGATGAGCAGGAGCACAGAGCCATGGCAATCCCTGGCTGGCCAGTGGCCCCTCAGGGTACCGTTTCCATCCAGCGTAATGCAGAGCAGCCTGTAATAACTCGTGTCTGTTTTGGGTATGGAGGCAGAAGAAAGGGAACATATGACTTTCTTCAATGACTTGCTGCTCTGTAAAAGGATTTTAAAGAATCTTTGGGGAAAAATTTAGGCCTCAGATGCAGACATGTGGATCTCATTGATTTCATAGGAGGCCATGTGAGTGTGTACATTAACAGACAGAATATGGCTTTTGATCTTTAAGAGCAATTAATATAAAATATGGAATTACACTACTGTGTAATAGGATACTTTTTACTACTTTATTAAAAGTACTCCCCGAACTCACATACAAAACAGCATAGCTTCCCAGGCCATGGTCTTATAACGGCTTATCTTTGCCAATGCTTATCACCTTCTGATGCTGTTTGCAAATGCGTTTGGCTGTTACGCTTTGAACTTCTGTAGAACATTTGTACTTAATAAAAAACCAAGACCAAACACTTTCCTATCCTCACATCTGTCTATGCTTGAGAATGACATTATAATTGGAAGAAAAGGGAGAAATAGTTGTCATGAATATCTGCAGGGACTCCCTGTGACCATTCTTTCCTGCTACCATGCAAGACAGAACCATGATGACTAAGCCATTCTTCCATAAACCTGTGAGCATAGAGCGTTTTAGCATGTGCTTACAGATATGAGCCTGTAGATTGCCAAGTACCTCTTGTAGCTAATATCTGAAGGAGTGCAATGGATTACAGACCTCTGCTGGCATAGACCTGACACCTTGAAGGTGACTCCCCAGGGTCTGCACCTTGGAAGTGCTGCAGCCACATCTACTTGTCTGTGGGTGGTAATAAAATGTGATGAACCTCAACTGGAGGCATCTTTGCTTTCATTTTACCTACCTGAAATTCTCAGTGTGTTAGGCTGACAGATGTATTCACTGTGAAGTCCAAAGCAGCTTCTGCCTGGAAAGGTTCCATAGGGAAACAAGTCCAGAAGTGATTAAGAGGCATTGAACAGGGTACGCCTGCAACAGGTTCTTAGGGAGAACAGCAAACTCTTCTCAAATTGCTTCTTCATCAGGAAAATGGCACAATATGCCTCTCACAGAAGAAACTAATTTAAGGAGTTTTTAAGTCTCTTTATTAAACTGTTGAGTTGCAAATAAAAGGGAGCTAAACTGTAGAAGTCACTCTGTCAAGGTAACAGTCTGGGGGAGGCAGGGGTACGAAAGAGGGATTGTTGTATCATCTCAGAACAAGAATTTACATGTTCCTGTTTGGAATGAGCTGTGGTCTTGTTTCCTGTTCCTGGGTCTGTCAATTACACAAGAGGCCTTTCTCCTGAAAGGTTTCTTTAAGTCTCCCCAGCCATAAGACTCTTTTTGTTACTGCTTTAGTACTTGAGTCTTTCAGTTTTTTTGGCTGAAGTGTTCGGTATTTATTCACCTTCAGGCAGAAACTAAATCTAGAAAATTTCCATCTGTTGCTCTAAGTGAGATTTTGGGACACTGTGAACAATGGAAAGGAGGGTAATAACAGAAGTGTGCATGCAGACTTAGCCATAAATGGCACTTGCATTTTACCAATAGTAAATATGTATCTATTACATATTTCTATTTTGCTGAATCTCTAAGTCCAATAGACTGAATATTTTTTTGCTATTAAGCTTCATAGATTACAGCTGAAGTCATAATATTCTATGAAAAGCCACCTAGCTCAGTGAGTTTAGTTGTTTCTAGTTTTATTGTTTAGTTGATTTTATCAGATACTATTTATTCCACCCAGATCCACACCTATAAACCATTTAATATTATTGTTGATGAAACTAATGTGTTGTATAAAATGACTTTTTTGTTCTCATCCCTTCAAACAACACTTCCTGTAATATGTTGCTGAGACAAATAAAGCTGTGTAGAGCTTAACCCCCTGCCAAAAGAAACCAAAACACAAATAAGACAACCCACCGAAAAAAACCCCACCCATGCCCTGTACAACTGCTAGAAAGTAGTTCTTTTGCAGCAAATTACTATAATTGTATAAGTATGGAACAGAATACTATTGCCGATAGTAAAGTATTGACATAGCTGGAGACCATGTAATATGGATCACTTACCTGTTTGTAGGGGGAAGATATGCTTGCAGTGCTTTGGAGAAAGCAGCCAAAACCGAAAGACACTCTACATAATGCTGTATTACAGTGAACCTTTTCAGTGTATACTACAGTAAAATCCCTGTTATCTGAATTCCATATTCTTCAATTACAGTATCTTGTGATTCAGATAAATGGGAATCACCAAGATAGATGGAAACTTGCAGAGTTTATTAACTCTCTGGATATTAATCTCTTCCTAGTATTATTTATATAATCTGCAGCATGATCTAGCACATAAACACAGAAGGCTTAGTTTATTTTATCAATCCAGTACAAAATACCTCTTGCACCAAGAAATGCATTCAAGTTAGATCTTAGTTAATCTGAATTCTTCTGAATTTATGTTAACCGGACTTCATATGTTCAAGGTTTTTGGTATACCCTAACAAATTCATCCAAAACAAGGATAGTTAGTACAGAAGCAAACTAAGAAATTGCTATCTGTGTTGTAGCATGTGTAGAAGTGGAGATAGGATCTCCTTTCATTCTTTTCCAGCTCCAGGAAGATTCTAGATAGTAGTTTGGATTGGTTCTTTTTCTATTTATGTTAGCAGAATGGAATAGAGAAAGTCTTGGGGCAACTGAAGCCCTGTGGAAAATTGACTGAAGTAGATGCAGATGAATTTGTGAATTTTGTTCCTGGCACTGGAAGTAAGTAAGGATGCTGAAGGTAGCTTTTTTCAACATCAAAGGTGCAGATAAAGTTTATTCTGTGGGTGTTCTGTGGGATACCTTAGTTGAATGTAGAGCTGCTCCTTAAAGATTAGGCCACCATAATTAAAAATGGATGTACATTAAACACTTAAATCTACAGCTTCTGTCTGCCTTTATGCTTAGCATTTGGTTGGTGCTGAATGTTTATTTCATTTTGGGGTTTAGCTTGTTAATGCAGTTAAAGTTTTTCTCCGGAGGAAAATGTGTACACTGTCATCCAGAATGCCTTACCTTCTTTTTGGTGTTGTGCTACCACCTTGCTGATGGGCAAGGAAGGGTCATCATTATTGTCTCTCACAGAACGAGTGAATCAGGTATATTTGGTTTTGAGGTGGGAAGTGTCACCCAATCCTGGTTTTCATTTTGGTACTCAAAGATGACATAGAAACTGTGTGCCAGGGACGAATATCCACTGGGGGGACAGAAACCAGCTCAGCACTCCTCTGTGATTGGGACTGACTGTGTTGCTGGGTGGAACAGCATAATGCTCTTGCAGCTCCTGTTCCAGCACAGTGATGTTTCTGCTCCAGATTGTGCTGACTCACATTCAAGAAAACATGACACACAGACACAATGCACTGTAACTCTTTTCCTTTCCCCCAGTAACCTCGGTAAGTGTTTGGTTTCTTTTTCCTGTCTATGGCTAGCATGGTGCTAATATATAGCTTTACTTGTTAGAATTAATAGGAGGGGGAAAGGCAACATTGTAAACAAACTGATAGCAGACAGATCAATTTTGGAGAGGGCATTTAAAAGCAACCTGCTGTTTGTGGTACATCCGCCTCCCTTTAAAGCTGATCAATCCCAATAACTTGCCCGTCTCTACAAACGACACTTGTTAGAGCTGTGTTCTTGAATGGGAGAAGTGCTTACAATGCCCATTTACAGCTGTATTCTGTTTAATTAGTCAGCACAGCCAGTGCTGCAGGGATAGATCACTTGCCTTTAAAGATTTGAGAATGTTAATAGTACAGTATATCATCTTAATTATTATTGGATTAATGTTGTGTCTTGACGACCATCTAATGCAAATCACAAGAAATGGCCTGAAGTGACCCAAGGGTTGTGCTTTATTAGAAAAGTAATATATATAAATATAAAGAGAGGTTCTTTCTTCAAATGTCACTCTGCACTGGGCTTCTCTGTGTGTGTATGTGGAAATGAAATCCTCTTGCTTCCACTTTGTCCACAGAAAGTTTCTGTAGCTCATACAATAAATGGCTGAGACAATAAGTGTAATACCAAGAGATGAAGAGGAGATCCAAAATATCACTGATGATGAAGACCCATTTCTGAATCGTGATGCTGTAATGTCATCCCCCAGTTCCTCTGCCAGCCCTTTGTTAACCAGCCTTAATGATGACAAAGGAAGCTCAGCAGTGCCAGAAAGACTATCCATCCTCTCCAGCAAGGCCGTGGCCCAGGCAAAAGTCCTGAATGGCCCAGAAATGGTTAGTGATGACATGGCACAGAGGACAGCCTCTGGGTTGACTGACCATCCTCTGACAGCTGGAAACGCATCGTTAGGGAGCTCATCATACTCTGTGGCAGTCAGTAGCCTGCAGCCTGTGGACATTGCCTCCCTGTGCTCTGAAAGCCCCTGCTGTGATGGTGACCAGAGTTCGAAAGTGCTTCAGGTGACAAGGGTGCCCAGTGGGGCTGGTGAGCCCAGGCAGGTTGTTGGTGACCTACCTGGGACTGACCCCAGGGGCTGCCACATGCAGTGGGCAGGGAGCTATGCCAAGGGCAATATGGCCCCTCTTTGTCTGGGCCAGGTGATTCGGACAAAGACTGCAAAAGTAATGGAGACCTTAGAAATTAAGAAAAAGGAGGAAAAGGAGAAGTACCGGCTCCAGCTAGCTATGTACCGACGGCTTCTGCTCTTGCGCTCAATCAGGAGCTTGCATAAGCAGCTGGAGCAGCAGCAGGCCAGATTGCAGGAATGCTACGGCACAGTGATAAATACCAAGAAAGAAGTGTTGAAACACATTCGCTCAACCTCGCCCTCACCTTTGCCGTAATCATGTTGCTGCATGCAGAAATGAGCTTTGTAATGCCACGAGAGCCATCAGTAAGTTTGCATGCTATAGAGGTGGTGTCTTCATACCGAAAAGTACGTGCCCGTGTGTGCCGAGAGTAGAGGAAAGAGCAGCAGCAGAGCAAGAAGAAAAGGGAAGGTAAAGTGTTGGCCCCTGAATTTATCTGGAGGAAACCAGACCAAGATTGTACCTGTGCAAGAAGCTGACTCCTGACCCGCGTTCAAAGCCTCAAGCTGAAATAGGATTTTTGGCATATAAGTTTGTAAAAAAAAAAAAATACCCATGAATTGGGAAACTAGTCTGACATTTGATCTGTAAAGGTGGTCACATGCAAGAGGTGCTGCCTGCTGAATATGTGATATAACACTCCCTTCTAGTTTCAGCACGAAAAAAACTTCAGCAGAGCTAATTTGTCTGCAAGAATATCTGAATCTAGAAAGCCAGGATATTTGAAACACTTAAGCTCAGGCTTGGTTATATCTACCTAGTTGTCTGTTTTTCACAACACTGCCAAGGCCATTGTATGTTTATGACCCCTAACCTCCCATAAAATTTATTCAGATTGACTAGAAATTTTGGGAAGGCAGGACAGCCAAGTACATGCACAGGGAGGCAGTGCAACTGCCTAAGCCTTATTTCCTTAGGAAAGCAAGCTAAAAACATAGGTCTCATAATCTGTCACTGCATCGGAAACTCACCCTGGCAGTGCCAGGGGAATGTTTGAGGTCTTCACAATTATTAATCTGCTGGTAACTCCCAGTGGCACTAACATCTGCAAATCAAGCACATTTTGTGCCTTACTGCTGTCATTAAATGGAAGTTGGTGGCAATTAGCACTTTTTATCCAGGTGTATTAGACATGTGGAAAACCCTAGAGCACTGTTTCTCCAATTGCAAGGTTAGGATGCCTTCAGGGAATTTGATGTCAGTATGCAACAAAAACACAGGAAAAATGAAAGCAAAGAAAGAGATGCAACTCTCTTGTATGCATTTAAAAGGCAATGTGAGTCCCTATTATTGAACAGCAAAAGAATACTTGAATATGCTGGTTTAGGATCTGAAGCAAAAAGTGATTAAAGAAGATACTGAAAAGCTTCCTTTTCTATGATTTAAAGTGATACCAAAAATCTGATTTCCTTCAGATATTTATTTCTGATCACGTCACCTTTCCTTTTCATCCTAATTGTTTTTTTTTAGGTATAAACTTTTAGGTAGATGAACAATCAATCAGGGTTTTGGTGTGTTTTTTTCCACACAAAAAGACAAGTCTGTTATTAGAAGTCATGTCTTCCTGAGAATAATGTGCTACATATATATAGGAATTTTTTTGGTGTGTATATAGAGAGGCTGTGTTTGCGTACGCAGGCACATACAGTTCCCTGTATACAAGAGGTTATGAAAAGCTGGTGCTTCTTTTTCTATAGCAGAAGCAGGACTAATCTCTCAAAATAATCTCTGCTGTCTGAGAGGAGTTTGGTTGATTAGATTCACATGCACACATCTGTGAGCAAGGTATTGAAGTAATTCAACAATTGAAGTGCAGCACAACATTGTCATTATTCCGTCTCTGTATCTCTGTGCACCCAAAATTATGGAAGGCCCCTGGGTATGCACAACCTTAGATAGGTTCATTCATCTCCTTGGGCCCTGGTGTAGCCTCTCACAGCATGAACCTATGACTTTGAATGCAGAATTACCATAGAAACATCCTTGGCATCAAGGAGATATTTGAAGAAGCATCTTCTATTGCCTCATTTGGGGGATTCAGGTTGCCAGGGGCCTTTAGTGGGCTGCAGAAGAGACCTGGGGATCACATATAACTGGGAGACATTACTTCTGAGCTCTTATCCCATCAAGCTCTCTGCACAGCCTTAGGAAAGCTGTTCTCTGTCAGTACTGCAGGTTTCCCAAAGAATGCTTAAATACTAAATTCACCTCAGAGGTAACTTGTTCTGTCTTAATCTGCCTCCCAGGAAGGAAAGTTGATCATAGCCAGTAGGGCTATGCAAAGATTTATTTGTTTATTTATTTCCCCCTACTTCATGAGCAAGAAAAGCCTTTTTTTTTTTCATTAAGAGTGAGAGTAAGTTTCTGTTAAACCAAATGCAAGCAAACCACTATTATGTCATCTTTCTTGGGGAAAGAAGTTTGGGAAAAGAATACATCTCAAAAATATAACAATTTTGAAATCAAATATCAAATTGTTCCCAGTAGGAAAGCAATCACAATGTATAGTTCTGTTAATTTGACCAACCTTTTATTTATATTATTATTATTATTTTAAAAAGAATTATCTTCTAAATTAGATTCAGTTTGACTGATATTATCATCATTGAATTTTCCACTAAAATAAAATATATGCACAAAAATATATATTAAAATGCCCCTGGTAACACGAAGTATTTTGCCTCAGTAGCTGTTGAAGTATTATCCTGTATTTGTTGAACTAGAATAACATTAAAAGATACTTCTCACAATACACAGTGCAGTAATAGTTGAGTTGTCCAACCGTAAGTGCTTTGCGGCAGAACTGTGACAATCTTTGTTTTGTGCAATGCATAAAATGTCTTGATTCTAATTGGGATCAGTAGATGCTTCTGCACTATTAATATTAAATACCAACAGTCTTGTGCATAAGCAATGCTGTCTGATGCCTAGCAACAAAATAAAGCCAAAACTACTTCTGTGTGTGTGCATTCTTTCCATGTAGTGCTTTTATGCAAAATAAATATTAACTGAGGAAATAACTTCAGCCTTTGCAACCATTTGCTATTTACCTGGTAGTACAATTTGCTATGAACTGGGGGTTCTAGTGTGGCTACTGATAACTGGAGTTGGGCAAACCAATTAAAAGCTATATGATTTTTAAAATTAGTTTATTTTACAAGCTTGGAAAATGTGGCTAAACAGCTATTTTTTTATCATATGTTTTAGCAGTTGAAGGCCAGTGGTAAAGTGTCAGAATGCTGCAAGTAACCCAGGGAAGAGTTTTCAGGCATGCCAGAAAAAGCAACAGTCTCAGGCTTAATAAAAGTGTGTTCTCTCAAATCGTTCCATCTCTTCATGTGTTTAAAAGGTAGGGAGGTTTGGATGACATTCAACTGAATTTCTTAATATCTGTTTTTTTATCTGAACTAAACCCACATGAATTTATGGCTAGCAAGAGGTGCAGGCTTGAATTGCTGGAATTTCATATATGTACGTAAGAACTCACAGGTCTTGGGTAATGGCGGCAAAATATGTAGCTTTGGTAGGGTGTTCTTCCCTATTATCTTACTGCCTGCTAGAACCTGTTAAGCTAAAGATGTCCAGGAGAAATCTCTGATCCCACTGGTTATATTGCCTACTTTGACATCAAAGGTTGAAGTCAAGTTATGCTGCCTGAACCTTAAGGTCCTGCTGCTCACCTAATTGCGTAGCCAGCCTGAAATGATGAAAATAATCATGAGTCCACCATGGAAGACTTAAAACATGTGATGTTTAAAAAGTGCCAGCTCCCTTGGAGTCGTTGCTATCACTAAAAAAGGTGTATCTTGTGCCTACCTAAAACCAGTAGTCTTTAAGAACAAACTGGAGTTATAAACAATTGTGTGACAAAATGCATTCCTGAGATGTTCTCTAACACAAGGGTTTTTCTTCTGCACCTCCAGCATTTCAGTTAGCTAAACTGCTGCCCTCAGACTGGTCAGAACTGCGTTTTTGCTGTTTCTGTTGTTGATGGATTCAAGACCCCTCTCTAGTTTGATGCATTTCTATCTCCCTGCCTTCAATAAATTATAACTGTCTAGGTACTAAACTTTTTCTTTCTGGCAAAACATTTGGAAGTTTTGGGAGAAGAGGAAAAAAAGCCTTCCTCTCAAGTCTGTTGTGCCATTGAAGAAAGGGGGAGATGGTGGTTTGGTTTTGTTTAAAAGTTGTAGCAGGGAAGATGGCCATGTGAAAACACTCTGGAGGGTTTACTTAAGTGTCTTGAAAATAACAGCAGTTCCTGCAAGATTAAAACTACAGCTGCAAACAAGTTTTTTTTAATTGTATTGATCATCATCTCACACAATTTCAGCTAAGTCTCCAAAACAAACAAAAAAGTTGCCTCGATCTTTGACAAATCAAGTCTCTAAGCCCAAAGTGACTTCTGTGTGCATGAGAGGCAAGGAATTCTTGAGAATCTCAATAAAAGTAACATTTTCGCTTTGATGGGTGGGGGTTGGAAAGGAAGGGGAATGTGTGACCATTCATCACAGCTCCAGGCTCATTAGTACCCAGGAACTTTCTACTCTAAATGACAAAGAGTTTCACTGTCGCCAAAGAGAAATTGCTGCTGACCTTAGACCTCTTTTTGGAAAGTAAAATAATGGAGCACAGGAGCAGAGTTTGATATTTGACCGAATTCTACACAATTATCATGCATGTGTATATAATAAAATTAATTCTGTGTCTCTGCATTGTAGCCTCGGGCAAGCAGCGTACAATCAGTTTTGTATGTATAATAGATCACAGAGTTGTTCATGAATAATACAAATGCATTGAGCAGATACTAGTGAGTGAGGATGTTTGTCTTTGCATGGAATCGAAGTGAACATGTAATATTGTGATAATATATATTTGATGAATTCAGGTCTGACTTGCCTTTGCCATAGCCTGCTAATTCCCCGACAAGGGTTGCCACAATAATTGAGTTTCCAATAACATTATGATTATTTCCACATGATAATTTAATTGTAGGTATTTTTAATATTGTAATAATGTAGATTTGTGATTATTATGCATTTGCATGCAGATTTTAGTGGTGACTTGGAGCACATCCCTACTTTATAACTTAATTTCCTATATTATTGCATATATATTTTGGGATGAGCTCATTAATGCAAACTAAAAAAAAAGTAGGCTTTTTTAGTCATTTTGCTTTTATTATAAATAGCTGAAAGATTTGCTCATCTTTTTAGACCAGTCTAAGCAAGTGAATAAACAAAAGACAACTGTAATTCACGGATGGATTAATTTAAAATAATGTAATTACGAATCATGGCAGATTTGTCTGAGGTAATTGGGATGTAGACTGGTACAAATTTTGCTTTACTGAAACAAAACTTATTTAGATGAATCACCAAGTTTAGTAGGGGTTGTTTTCCATTCTTCCAGTTCCCCTATATAACCTGTTGGCAAAGTAACATTGGCTCAAAATTAATGGGTGCCTATACAAATGGGTATAACAGCAGGGAAACCTGAACATCTGGACCTAACTAGATCTAACTAGATGTTATTTTGGTAAGCAGTATGCCCAGTAAGAATAGAATTGTGCATACAAATTCATGATACTATCAGAGCTTTTAATCAGTTAATTTGACCACTCTGGAATGAGGCTGGTTGCTTGCCTGATAACAACCTTCAAACTGCATTAGAAAACCTCACCTGATACATAGTGAGGCAAAGGGAGGTAGGCCTTTCCCCAGAAATAAACTGTTCTCATTAACTGAAGCAGACATTTGTATGATCCTGTGAGTATCCCACTTCAAATGGGAGAGCTCTCTTCCAGAGCTATCAAATATTTGAAGAGGAGGAAATGTGTTTAGCTAAATATTTGTTTTTAAAAGAAACTTTGCAGAGAAAGTGATACGGGGTTTGTGTGTGTTCACTTTTCTGGTTTGTCTCAAGTAGATGTAGTTGGAGGAATATCTCCTCCACTTTTTATCTGTAAAATCTCATCTTCTCAAGCCCAGCTGAGGTCACAACAGAGATCTTGGTCTTCTCCAGGTTACCCATAGCTGGCAGGTTGGATTTCCACTGCTGCATGGCAGACGCTTGCAATAGAAGCTAGGAGGACAGTCATGGTCCAAACCTTCAGACATGGAAGTCTAAAACTAAGGACTGGCATACATAACTTACTGCTGTCCATTCACATTGTTGCTCAGTGCATGTGGATGTCATTGCTTTCAGTGTATTTTGGTGCCTGCTTCTACTCTCAGAAGTATTTCTGTTAATTAACAACATACAAGACACAATGAAATTAAGTCCTTCTCTTTCATCTTCTGTTGCTCTGTGGA